CCCCACCACCCCCCACCCCCCCACCCCCACCCCCCCCCCCCCACCCCCCCCCCACCCCACCCCCCCCCCACCCCCCCCCACCCCCCCCACCCCCCCCCCACCCCCCCCCCCACCCCCCACCCCCCCCACCCCCCCCCACCCACCCCCCCACCCCCCACCCCACCCCCCCCCCACCCCCACCCCCACCCACCCCCCCCACCCCCCCCACCCCCACACCCCCACCCCCCCCCCACCCCCACCCACCCACCCCCCCCCCACCCCCCCCCACCCCCCCCCACCCCCCCCCCCCCACACCACCCCCCCCCCCCACCACCCACCCCCCCCCCCCCCCACCCCCCACCACCCACCCCCACCCCACCCCCACCCCCCCCCCACCACCCCCCCCCCCCCCACCCCACCCCCCACACCCCCCCCCACCACCCCCCCCCACCACCCCCCCCCCACCCCCCCCCACCCACACCCCACCCACCCCACCCCCCACCCACCCCCCCCCACCCACCCCCCACCCCCCCCCCCCCCCCACCCCACCCCCCACCCACCCCCCCCACCACCCACCCCCCCCACCCCCCCACCCCCACCCCCCCCCACCCCCCCCCCCCCCCCACCCCCCCCCCACCCCCACCCCCCCACCCCCCCCCCACCCACCCCCCCCCCCCACCCCCACCCCCACCCCCACCCCCCCCCACCCACCCCCCCCCCCCACCCCACCCCCACCCCCCCCCCCCCCACCCCACCCCCCCCCCCCCCACCCCCACCACCCCCCCCCCCACCCCCCCACCCACCCCCCCCCCCCCACCCCCCCCCCACCCCACCCCCCCCCCCCCCACCCCCCCCCCCCCCCCCCCCCCCCCACCCACCCCCACCCCCCCCCACCACCCCCACCCCCCCCCCCCCCCACCCCCCCCCCCCCCACCCCCCCACCCCCCCCCACCCCCCCCCCCCCCCCCCCACCCCCCCCCCCCCCCCCCCCCCCCCCACCCCCCCCCCCCCCCCCCCCCCCCCCACCCCCCCCCCCCCCCCCCCCCCCCCCCCCCACCCCCCCCCCCCCCCCCACCACCCCCCCCCCCCCACCACACCCCACCCCCCCCACACCCCCCCCACCCCCCACCACCCCCCCCCACCCCCCACCCCCCACCCCCCCCCCCCCCCCCCCCCCCACCCCAAACCCCCCATACACCACACCCCAAATCTGACAACTGAATAGACCCCACTGGTGCTACGATACTATAGCTCACATAATCTGCAATACTACCCTAACCTTAGTGAAAATGTCATACTCCTCGACTATACCTCCCGCACTCGGTTATCTACCCACTGAAACGCGTAGCCAACAACCCAGAACCATCATTAGGCTACCCACCCACGTGTGGCATCCGCACACAAATGTGTCGACGGCCCGAGACCACACTATTCTGATTATACTGGAAACTCACGCACCTCCTACTCCCATGTAGTAGAAGAAGTATCAATTTGTGTATGTCCCTGTTTTTCGCTAGAACTTATGACAAACCACCCTTGACCGTACGAGTGCTGAAATCTGGAATACTCGGTTGGAGAACTCGCTTTTGAACTGCCAGGATGAGGAGCCAACCGTCCCGTGATCCCAGTAAGTCGTGGGGAATTTATCAGACGTACAACTAGACGCTTTGCAGTTAGACGCTTCGTCAATATGGGCTTGATTACAAAATTCCTCCTAGAAGACTGAACGGGTTGTTCACAGAAGCTCAGTTTGAGAACTTTTTTGATCAATTTAAAGAGTTTAACCGTCCAGTCCTGAGAGTGTTGTTTGGTTTAGAAACAAATTGACCGACATTGCTCACGAAGTAAGACTGTGCCAGTGACTGAAAAATGCGCTTACAGGCGCGACACCCTTCAGGCGCACGTGAACTACCTACTAAGAACGTAGTTGTGATGATAACCGGAATAAGGGCTCTGGAGTGGTAGGTCATGGAACGACGGACTGAGTACGCTCAGAAAATGAAGTAGCATACTCATAACGACACGAGTAAAGTTGAACGACTTAAATAGATGGAGGACCTGTTGTCCCGACCCGTTGATGCTCGCATAGCTTGCCCATCTTGAAATGCTTCAACATCCTTGCCCCCGACCTGATTGATAGTGACACTTATTAATGGTTGAAAGCCAAGTGGAAGCACTACTCCGCAGTTATACTGGTCACCGAAGACGCGCAAAAGTGGAGTACCAATTAGGCCGATTCTATCAATGGTAAATGCGCTGCAGCATAAATTGGCTCGCTGGCTAGTGAAGTTACTTTCGCCTCTACGACGACTGTCCAATCCATTAGTCTTAAAGAGTCTTTTCAACTTATCGGTGACTTAGATAACATCAACCTCTCCGATAAGATCATGTGTTCCTTGGATGTGGAATCTCTATTCACCAACGTCCCACTACAACAAACTGTTGAATACACATGTGAGCTAGCTGAGCACTCTAGTTATTCGTTACCAATTTTAGTCCAATTTCTAAAGGAATCCTTACTGTTGTGCACAGCAAATGTTGGCTTTCACTTTCAGAACACCCCATATCGTCAAATCGACGGCGTGGCAATGGGTAGTCCACTAGGCCCTGTACATGACGATTTCTTCATGCTGATGGTAGAAAGAGGCATATCCACAGAAATAGCTCAATTACCATACTATAGGCGTTATGTTGATGACATATTGGCCTTTTCTTCATCAAAGCAGCAGATTGTACAGTTGGTACAGCAACTCAACTGCGCACATACCAACTTGCGGGTCACCTGCGAAGTGGAACAGAAGAACTGTCTGCCATTCTTAGACATCCTCATCAGTCACAGAGATGACGGGCTCATTAGAAGGTCTATCTACAGAAAAGCAACCTGGTCCGGCCAATACCTGCACTTCACCAGCTTCACACCAGTGCGGTACAAGCGGATTCATGTGAAAACTTTAGTTAGTCGTGCTAGACGCATTTGCTCCGCTGATTGTCTAGCCGACGAGCTAGAGTTAAGTCCAACAACACTCGTTGCAAATGGTTATCCACGTAGATTTATAGAGAGACATAGCCAACAGCGAGGCCCGAAAGACTTGGCGCAAACGGCAGCCAAGAAAATGATCCATATCGAGTTGCCATTCAAGTGTGACTTCGCTGTATTGAAAACCATGAAACGTTTAATCTCTGCTACGCAGAGAAGTTACTGTGCTGCTCAGGTTGTGGTCATCAATAGAAGCTGTAACTTGCCAGTGCCTCCAACGAAGGAAGCTCAACCGATAGGGGCCAGCTCACACGGCATATACGAATTCGTATGCGACTGCGGAGACAGTTACATAGGCAGAACCAATCGGTCTTTGACTTCCCGAATAAAGGAACACGTGCCAAGGTGGGTTCAACGTGAAATTGACCAGAATCCCTGTCCCACTGAAGTTCCGTACTCGCGCAAACCGCCAGCCTCCTCAATAGGTAAACACCTACTGACTACGCGTCACCGGATAGAGCTCGGATCAGCGTTCACACTTGCATTACGTCACCCTAATCCCCGCTTCCTCCGTTTCGCCGAGGCCGTTGCGATAAGCCGGATGAAGCCGGCCCTGTGTGTTCAAAATCAATTATTTCTCAGCTTAAGACTGCCGTGGACATAGGTGTGGAACTTCCGTCATTCATTTTTCACCTCATGCTTATTCGGTCACACACATAGTTAAGTACATAGTTGCATACCGGTTATTGTTAATGGTACTGAGGAGACAATACGAATTTCTGAAGGGAACTAACTGCTTTAAAATTCTATTATGCGTTCTTTAATTATAAGTATAAGCACCAAAACAAACGTCGATCTAGTACTGAGCCTTACGTCACATCATACGCGACTTTTATGGGATCCGTTAAAGAGCTTCGAACACAGACCACTAATTGACGTTGAAGTAGGAATTTCGCAACGCAGATTAAAAGAGGGTCGCCATCCCGTAATGTTAAAGCTTAGACACTAGTATCCGATTGTCTATTCAAGACAATCGAAATCTTTCGAAAAATCCAGGTAGATCACAATATGATTTTCTTCAGCGTCAGCTGACTCGGTCCAAATATTGTGTGTGATTAGTGAATTTGTTGTTCATGGCCGCTGTAAGCGGAAACCGTGCTGTTCAGGCGTGATGATGTTACAGATTTCCAGATAGCACACTAGTACATCATCCATTATGGATGCCATGACCTTGGAGCGTATAGGAAAAACGGATACTGGTTGGCAGTCTCTGGGAACTTGATTCTAGGCTAACCCGCATTGGAAAAGCTGAGCTAACTTTCCTACCAGTTGGCTTGCTGCGGCTTCCATTGCCTCTGGACGAATACTGCTGACATTCGGCCAGCTGTGTTTGCGTAGATGCGTAAGCTTTTGCAATAAAGCCTCAGCAGTAAAAGGGAAGGGGGTTAGTCCTGGCGAGGAGACGACGAAGGTTGGAAGATTGTTCGGTGGCAAGACCCTCTGAATCGTGGAGGCATATTGCATCCGTAGCTTGTTTGCTTCTTTGACACCCATTCCTGTTGGGTCATCAGACGTCCTGAGTGGAAGAAACCTTTGCCTCATCTTCCTTAGGCTATTGACTTGCTTTTACAGCAATATGTGGTTGGCAGTGAAGGTAGTTACGACGTTCTGCTGGTAGGCGCCTTTGTCTTCTTTTAGCACTCAGTATTGGTAACTGTACAACTGCAGCCATTTCAATATCAAGTGGAGTGATTCATGGTAGCTTGTTAGATCCGCTTTTATTCTTAATCTACTTAAATGAGTTCCTGGATGAAATTACGTTCGGGAAGCCATGCGTCTTTTCTGTTGATGTTCAGATTGTGTATTATTCCGCCCATGAGCAAAGTAGTCCCGATTTAGCCTGTATTCAATCTGACTTGTCAGCATTAGAGTAACTTCTGGAAGTTGTACTTCGCCACTGACAAATGTAATCTATTTTACCACGGCTGTGACACTTCACCGAACATCCTAAACTTAAACAACACTCCTGTTTCTGTGTGTGGCGCGACCCGAGACATTGGTCTAAGAGGTTCCGCCTCGGTTAATTTTATAGAGCAAGTTATATTCTTGCAGACTTTTGCCAGAAAAAACATCACATACCTACATCGAACTCTTATCATTAGGGAGTTAAGGCTTCAAGTCTTTAAACTGTGTGTTAGGCCAAAGCTTGATTACTGTACAATTGTGCATAGAAATATGAGAAAAGTGGACATCATACCAACGAAAAACATCCAATAATCATTAAAAACGGATGTTTGCCGTGAGCTCTGCAAGGCCCTATGACTGCGACCGCTATGGCTGCGCAGACTCAAACTTAATCTGTGCCTTTCCTACCGCCTACTATTCGGCTTCAGCTTTACAGCTCAGCCACAATTCGAGTTGTCGGCTTTCAAGTATTATAACAAACAGCGAACACAAACTGCACATTCAAAAGTCTCGTACCAAGCTTCGCTTAAATAGTTTCTCGGTAAAATATGCGTTAACATGGATTCAAATTTCATCGAATATCAGAAAATGCTCTACCAAATGGGTGATCAAAATTCACCTGACCGTTTCCCATATCTTGTAAGCACAGCCAAATATTGACCCCGGATGATTTGCATGAGAAAAGCCGTGGACACACAGAATTTCCAATATATCATAACTCTCTCAATCTTATAATTTTATCCACATATATGAACTCCTTTGCATGTGTTTGTAATCTGTGTTATTTCTACCAATGCTCTACGCCTGTCCAACCAATACAGTCTTCTTCTCCTTTGATACACTGTTTCAGAGATTTATTATGTTTTTAACCTGCAATCTCTGCACGGTCGTCGTTGTTCGCAATGATTTTCCACCCAATTGTGTTTAGCCTATTAACAAAAGACTACACACAAGATCATGCTTTTGATTCTTTGTACCTTACATTCTTTCGAATTTCACCGTGGGTCACGAGTTTGCTAATGGCTTGAGGTGACGGATTATAGTTTCCATAAAAGAAAAATTACACCTATTCAAAGGATACTGCCACTGATTTGCTGGTAACTAGTACAAAGTGCCATACGTGTATGACCCGCACTGCGGATTGGGCTGAGGCTTCATCACCCATAATGCATGCATAAACGCATTCGGATTCTATTGACTCAGAATACACATTCGTGCTTCTGTTTCTGGTCATAGAAGAAACATGCAACCG